GTGGTGGTGGTGGCGGTGTGCCGTGGAGTCAGTTCTGACTGAGAGCAACCCTGCATAGGATTTCCTGAGGCTTTCTACTCCCGTAAAGATTTACACCCTCGGAAACCCTGTACAGGGTCGCTATGGGTCGGAACCAACTCGAAGGCACTTAACAACTTAACAACAAACCTTTACAGGAGCAGAAAGTCTCATCTTTCTCCAGAGTAACAGCTGATAGTTTCAAGCTGTTGGCCTTGAGTTTAGCAACCCGACTCATAACTATTATGCTACCAGAGTTTCTTGGTGGTGGTGATGGTGGTTATGTGCTGTGGATTTGGTTCTGACTCATAGCAACACTGCATATTAGTTTCTGAGGCTGCAAATCTTTGCAGGAGAAAATGTCTCATATTTCTCCCAGTAAGGTGCTAATGGGCTCAAACTACTGACCTTGAAGTTTGAAGTTAGGTATTTATCTAACAGCACCACCTCAACCCATTGTTATTGTTTGATGCCATCTAGTTGGCTCTGACTCATAGTGACCATATGCAAAGCAAAACACTATTTGGTACTATACAATTCTCGCAACTGTTATACATGAGTCCAGGTGCTGTACCTGTACCAATGTAACTCATTGGAGGTCTACCTCCTTTTTGCTGATCCTCCACTTGACCAAACATGCTGTTGTACTCCAAAGATTGACCACTCCTGATAATATGGCAGAAGTGTGAGAGACGATGTCTTGCCATACTGGCTTTTAAAGCACATTCTGGCTGTCTTCTTCCAACACAGATTTATTTGCTCTTCTGATAGTCCGTGATACTTTTAATATTCTTCTCCAATGCAGTGATTCTTATCCATTAATTCTTCTATGGTCTTCCTTATTCATTGTTCAAATTTCACATGCATTTGAGGCTATTGGAAACACCATAGCTTGGTTCAGGCACACCTTAGTCCTCAAACTGACATATTTGCTCTTGAATAATTTAAAGAGGTCTTGCAAAGTAGATTTGCTTAATGCAATACATCATTTGATTTCTTCACTGTTGCTTCCATGAGTGTTGATTGTGGATTCAGACAAAATGAAATCTTTGACAACTTCATTCTTACCTTCCTTTATCATGTTACTGGTTGAGTTGTGAGGATGTTTGTTTTCTTTACATTGAGGTGCAATCCATACTGAAGGCTGTGGTCTTTGATCTTAATTGTTATTGTTGTTGTTATGTGCCATGGAGTTGGTTCCAACTCATAGCGACCCTGTACAGGGTTTCCGAGGCTATAAATCTTTACGGGAGCAGAAAGTCTCATCTTTTTCCCATGGAACAGCTGGTAGTTTCGAACTGCTGTCCTTGAGGTTCGCAGCCCGATTGGTAACCACTTACGCTACCAGAGCTCCTTTGATCTTAATTAGTAGGTACTTTAAGTCCTCTTCTCTTTCAGCAAGCTAGGTTGTATCATCTGCATATCACAGGTCACTAATGAATCTTCCTCTAATACTAATGCAGTGTTCTTCTTCATATACTCCAGCTTTTCAAATTGTTTTCGCAGCATACAGATTGAATAAGTACAATGAAAGAATAGAGCCTTAGAACACACCTTACCTGATTTAAAAATATTCACTGTCCCCTTGTACTTTTCAAATGACTGCCTCTTGTTCTATGAACAGGTTCATCAGGAGCATAATTTAGTGTTATGGAAAGCCCATTATTTGTAATGTTATCCGTAACCTATGATAATCCATACAGTCAAAAGACTTTACATACTCAATAAAATATAGGTAGACATGTTTTGGGTATTCTCTGCTTTCAGCCAAGATCCATCTAATGTCAACAATGATATTCCTTGTTCCTAGGAATTAGAGAACTGAAATAGACTGGTATTGGCCATTTTGAATCAGTCAGCATATGGACTACTATGCCAGGAATTACAAATCAAACAAGAATGGTGTTGTAATCATCATCAAAAAGAACACTTAAAAATCTATCTTGAAGTACAATGTGTTTTGTAATAGAATAATATCTACACACCTACAAGGAAGATCAGGTAATATGATTATTACTCAAACTCAGCCAACAACCATTCAAGTCAGTGATGGTGAAATTGATGAAATTTAACAACTTCCTCAATGTGAAATTTATCAGACATGTGATCAAGATGTATTGATAAATATTGGTGATTGGGATACTAAGGTTAGAAACAAACAGAAAGCATCCATAGTTGGGCTTAGTAATAGACATGATGCTTGAGATCACATGATAGAATTTTGCAAGGCCAATAAACTATTCATTGCAAATACCTTTATTAAGCAACGTAAAAAGTAATTATACACATGGAATACACAGAAACCTAATGAAGTACATTTTAGGGAAATATCATCAGCCAAATAAGGATCAGGAGCAGACTATGGAAAAGACCAAAAACAGCTTATATGCAAGTTCATGCAAAACTTGAAGAAAATTAAAGCATGTCCACTACAGCCAAAATATGACCTTGAATGTGTTCCACATGAATTTAGAGATCATACCAATAACAGATTTGATACATTGGTCACTGATGACCAAAGATCAGAAGAATTGTGAGACAACTTCAAGAACATCATACAGGAAGAAAACAAAAGGTCATTTTCACAGAAAAGAAAGAAAAGACCAAAATGGATGTCAGAAGAGACTCTGAAACTTGTTCTCCAGCATAGAAATGCTGAATTTAATGGAAGAAATGAGGAAGCAATAGAGCTAAACAGAAAATCCCAAAGAGCAGATCAAGAAGAAAAATTCAAGTATTATGATGAGATGTGCAAAAACCTGGAGTTAGAAAACTGAAAAGTGAAAAACATGTTCAGCAGTTCTCAAATTGAAAGAACTGAAGAAATCATCCTGGCCTCAAGCTAGCAATACTGAAGTATTCTATAGGCAAAATATTGAAAGATGCAAAAAGCATCAAAAGAAGATGGAAGGAATGCACAGACCAATTTTATCAAAAAGAAGTGATCAATGTTCATCCATTTCAGATGGTAGGATATGATCAAGAATCAGTGGTACTGCAGCAAGAAGTCCAAGGTGCACTAAAGGCATTGATAAAGAACAAGATTCCAGGAATTGATGGAATACAAATGAAAATCTTTCACACTGATGCAGCATTGTAGGCACTCACTCATCAAAGCTAAGAAATTTGAAAGGCAGCTACCTGGCCAACTAATTAGAAGAGATACATATCTATATCCAATCCAAAGAGAGGTGATGCCACAAAATGCAAAAATCATTGAACAATATCATTAATATTACATGCAAGTAAAATGTTGCTAAAGAAAAATTTTAAATGCCTAGAACAACACATTGACAGTGAACTGTCAGATAGTCAAGCTGGATTTAAATGGGGTACATGTAATGAGTAATAACATTGCTGCCATCTGATGGATCTTGACTGAATGCAGAGAAAACCAGAAAGATGTTTAGCTATGCTTTATTAACTATGCAAAGGTTTCAGCTGTGGCTCATGACAAATTATGGACAACATTGTGAAGAATGGATATCCCACAACTCTTAATTGTGCTTATGAGGAACCTGTGTATAGACCAAGAAGCAGCTGTTCAAACAGAGCAGGTGACATTGAATGGCTTAAAATCAGAAATGATGAGCAAATAATCTGATAAGCTGAATTATATGAAGAAGAACATGGCATTAGCGTTGGAGGAAGACTCATTAACAACCTGTGATATGCAGATGATACAACCTTGCTTGCTGAAGAGGACTTAAAATACTTACTGATGAAGATCAAACCACAGTCTTCAGTATGGATTGCACCTTAATGAAAAGAAAAGAAAAATCCTTATAAATGGACCAATAACATTATGATAAATGGAGGTAAGATTGAAGTTGTCAAAGATCTCATTTTTGCTTTGATCCACTATTAACACTCATGGCAGCAGCAGTCAAAAAATATATCTATGAATTGCATTAGAGAACTCAAAGTTTTCAAGATCAAAGATACTAGTTTGAGAACTAAGTTGTGCCTGACCCAAGCCATGGTATTTTCAATAGTCCCACATGCATGTGAAAGTTGAACAATGAGTAAGGAAGGCTTTAGAAGAATTGATTCATTTCAATATGGTGTTGGAGAAGAATATTAAAAGCACTGTGGATTTCCAGTTTAAGAAGCAAATATATATTGGAAGAAGTAATGACAGAATGTTCCTTAGAAACCAGGATAGCAAGACTTCATCTCTAGTACTTTGGACATATTGCCCCTAGAGAAGTACACCATACTTTGTGAAGTGGAGGAGGGCTCAGATAAAAAGTGGAAGACACTCAACAAGATTGATTAGCACAGTGGCAGCAGAAATGGGCTCAAATGTAACATTATGAAGATAGCATAGGTCCAGGCATTGTTTTGGTCTTTTGTGCATAGGGTTGCTATTTGTTGGAACCAACTCGATAGCACCTAACAGCAATAGTCAATCGTTAACCTGGAACTGCATTTATGAACAACCATACCAAATACAGAGAACTAGTCTCCTTCAAAAAAAAATATTACATTTTACTGTAGGGAAGATAAATAAAGTAATCATAATGCTTCCTAGATGTTATCAAAAATCAACAACAAAAAAAAGGAGTATTGTAAAACTGGAATGATGAGGGTCAAAGTGGTTATACTCTATATGCAAAACATCACTATGCAATTGCATACTCTAAATTGCTACTCCCAATGAAATTCAGATTTCTTATCTGACAAAATTCCTGGAGTGTCAACATTTGGATTACATCACCATATCCGTGGGTGTAGAGTTTCACCTGTTGTTAGGCTTATTCATTAATTCACATTTCATTGATATGCTTTACTATGATATAAATAAATTATAATTATATTTACCACCTGTTTTATCTCCAACAACAGGTCATACTTGGATTTGAATTGCAAGTATTACTTTAACACAGAGTCAATATATGAAAATTTTTTTCTCTGGTATATTTTCCCCAACAGTTCATTGGTATATTCTTTCTGTTTGTTCCTCAAGTTGTATACAAAACATGAGAAGTGATAATGAGACATATGTGGTAGGTTTTACCCTCCTTGGACTCTTTCCGGGAACAAGGCACATTAGTCTCCTGATCTGCATCATTCTCCTTGTCTACATTGTTGCCGTCACAGGAAACACTGGTCTGGTCCTTCTCCTCTTACTGGATTCCCACCTCCACAGCCCAATGTACTTCCTACTCAGTCAACTCTCTCTCATGGACATCTCACTTATTTCCACCACTGTTCCCAAGATGCTTACCAACTTTTTCTCAGGGACATCAGATATTTCATACATTGCCTGTGGGATTCAGATCTATTTCCATTCTGCCCTTGGAGGCAGTGAATGTATCTTGCTCACTCTGATGTCTTATGACCGATATGTAGCTATTTGTAATCCCTTGAGGTATGTGACCATTATGAATTCTGAGGTTTGCTTGCAGATGGCCATTGTGTCCTGGGCAGGGGGAGCATTTAATGCCCTAGTCCAAACCACATATACCATGCATTTTCCCAGATGTGGTTCAAGAGAAGTCCACCATTTCTTCTGTGAGCTACAGGCAGTGCTTAAACTGTCATGTGAAGACACATCAATTTACGAGAAAGTGGTGTTCATAATTGGAATTGTGTTCCTTCTCACACCCTTTGGCCTCATTCTGGCCTCCTACATTTTTATCTTCCTCAGTGTTCTCCATCTAAATTCCACCAAGGCAAGGAATAAAGCTCTCGCTACTTGCTCTTCCCATATGATGGTGGTGTTTCTCTACTTTGGTCCAACCATGTTCATCTACATGATTCCCAGTGCCTTGCACACCTCAGAGCAAGATGAGAGTCTCTCTATATTCTATACCATCCTCACCCCCATGTTGAATCCCCTCATATACAGTCTAAGGAACAAGGAGGTGGGAGAGGCTCTGAGGAAAGTTTTGGGCAAATCTTGATTATAAAGTTCGATGTTTGTTGTTGTTGTTAAGTGCAGTAGAGTCAGTTCCGACTTGTAGCAATCCTGTATGAGTTTCAGAGGAGCAGCTGGTGAGCTTGAACTGCCAATCTTGAGGTTCAAACCAACTTTGAAATCCAGTGCATTAACTCACATTGTCACACTAGGACTCCAATTATATGTAGAATGTATATATTTAGAGTTTCTGAATATTTAATGATTGTGGTAACAATGGTGATGATGGTGATGGTGGTGTGCATGGAGTTAGTTCCGATTCATAACGACCCTGTATAGGGTTTCTGATGTTGTAAATCTTTACAGGAGCAGAAGCCTCATCTTTCTTCCACGGAACTGCTGGTAATTTCAAACTGCTGACATTGATGTTAGCAACCCAACTCATAAGCACTATGCTACCAGAGCTCCTTGTGGTAACAATGGTGGTGGCATGGTGGCTGTGTGTCGTGGAGTCGGTTCCGACTCATAGCGATCCTGTACAGGGTTTCTGAGGCTATAAATCTTTACGGGAGCAGAATGCCTCAACTTTCTCCCATGGACCTTGCAGTTCGCAACCCAATTCGTAACCACTACACTACCAGAGCTCCCTATACCCACCCATAAATTTCATGACTTCTTTGTAGATACTGATAAAGTTAACAATTTTTATCTATATATATTCCTACATAGGAGTCCTGGTGTGGCACTGTAGAATAAACACTGGACCACAAGGTTGGTTTGAATCTCAAGGTTGGTGGTTCAAACTCTCCATTTGCTCCTCAGAAACCCTGTACAGGGTCGCTATGAGTCGGAACCGACTCCACAGCACATAACAACAACAACAACAACAACAACAACAAGGATTGGAAAATTTCAAGTCACTGCTTGAAATTACTTTATGACTCTGACCATAAAGATATGTGGTAATCACCATGTCATGTCCCAAAGTAGATTGGATACAATTGGGAAAGTCAAATTGAAACATTTGAAAATGTGTATGAGAACTTCTGGTCAAGTACTGGTGTTCATTTACTTGCCAGGTGCCTTTGTATGAGTTGTCCACCAAATCAGAGCTTAACACAAGCACGATTGCAGGTCATTCATTTGAAAGAGTAATTCCAGAGATCATAACAGATTGTGGATTACATGCCAAGATTAGGAATTCAAAACACTTACTTATGCTCAGGTAGAACCAGTATACAGAACAAGAGGCAGTAATTAGAACAGAGCAAAGGGATTTGTTGTTGTTGTTAAGTGCCATTGAGTCAGTTCTGACTCCTAACAAACCTGTGTAGGGTTTCTGAGAAGTGACTGGTAAGTTTGAACCACAAAGCTTGAGGTTCAAACTGACCTTGCAGTCGAATGCTTATTCTATGAACACAGGGTTTTCATCAGGAAAGATGTGAGTCACCTTTCACCATACTTACTCAATCTGTATGCTAAGCAAGTAATCAGAGAAGCTAGACTATATGAAGAAGAACATGGCATCAGGGTTGGAGGAGGTTTCCTTAACAGCCTCCAGTATGCAGATGATACAACAGTATGCAAAGGGGAATTGAAGCACTTACTGATGAAGATCAAGGCCTTCAGTATGAATTATACCCAAATGTAACAACTGGACCAATAAACAACATCATTTTAAGTGGGGAAAAGATTGAAATTGTCAATTTCAAGGGTTTCCTTTTAGTTAGATCCACCATCAGTTTGCAAATAAACATCAGTCAAGAAATCAAATGACATATTATATTGGACAAAATTGCTGCAAAAGATCTATTTAAAGTATGAAAAAGCAAAGATCTTAATTTGAATACAAAGATAAGCCTGATCCAAGGCTTGGTATTTTCAGTTGCTTCATATGTATTTGAAAGCTAGGCACCGAACAAGAAAGACAGAACAGTTGCCTTTGAAGCATTGTGTTTGCAGAGAATATGAAATATACCATAGACTTGTGTTACTGTGCCAGACTGCAAAGCCATTTAAACTGCAAGATAGGCGATTCAAGCTTACCAGCTGCTCCTCGGAAACCCTATACAGGGTTGCTGTGTGTCGGAATCGACTCAACAGCACTTAACAACAACAACCAGAAGAAAGAACAAATCTGTGTTTGAAGAAGTACAGCTGGAATGTCCCTTAGCAATAAGGGTGGCAAGAATTCATCTCACATACTTTGAATATTTCATCAGTAGAGCTCAGTCATTAGAGAAGGACATCTTGCTTGAGAAAGTGGTGGGTAAATGATGAAGATGAAGAAGATGGATGGATACAGTGACTGCAACAATGGGCTGAAGCATAAGAATGATTAACCATTTGAACTACCCAGTGAAACAAAATTTTTAGTAAAAACTAAATACAAAGTCATGACAAGGTCAAGTTGGTATAGTTATATGCTATATGCCCACTAGAATAAATCATAGCATTTATCTTCATTCTTTTTTTTCTTCTTGAGGAAGATAACATAATTGAGTTTAAGTTTTTATTCATAATATCTTCTTCTATCTAATAAAAAAAATTACTAGGAATGCTGAAAACAGGTCATAATTAGAAAAAAACTTTAAGGCAATTAAAATATATTGATGTGATTCATATAAATTAATAGTCATAAATGAAATTTAAATTAATTATTAATGTGTGTATTCATAAAAATTAAATAATTAGAACAATAAATTGAAAACTATGGATAAGTATGAAATAAAGAGTCTAGATCTCTTCATCGCATCTTGCTTGTGTGAATTTGTATGCTTCATAACCAGAGTAGAACCAATCTCTATATTTTGTACTGAATTGTTTCTCCCAGACTGAAGCCTCTTGTTGTTGTACTTAAGTGTCATTAAGTCAGTTCAGACTCAGAGCGACCCTGTGTAGGGTTTTCGAGGAACAGCTGGTAAATTTGGAGTGCTGACCACTTAGTCAACAATACAGTTCTTATTCTATAGCACCATACCAGGAATCCTCTTATATGTAGTTACAAAACAATATGATAGTTTTACATCTTTGGGATCTATTGCTGCTGTAACAGAAACACAACAAGTGGATGTAAAAATCAGAAATCTATTTTCTCAAAGCTTGTTATTGTTGTTAGGTGCCATCGAATTTTTACTGACTCATAAAAGGAAGACCCTCAACAAGATGGATTGGCCAAGTGGCAGCATCAATGGAGTCAAAGCATGGCAATAATAGTGAGGTTGGCCTGGGATCGGGCAGTGTTTCGTTCTGCTGTGCATAGGGTTGCTATGGGTTGGTACCTACTTGATGGCACCTAACAGCAACAACAACATTGAGACCACATGTACAACAGAACAAAACACTGCACAGTCCTGCTCCAATCTCACAATCCTTGCTACGTGCACACCCATTGCTACTGTCACTGTGCCAATCCATATCGTTGAGATTTTCCTCTTCTACAATGACCCTCCAATTTACCAAAAATGATGTTCTTCTCTATGGATTGGTCCCTACTAATAATATGTCCAAAGTATGAGAGAGGGCCTAAAGAAGGATATCATGTTTTTTAAAGTAGAGTGTCAGAGATGAAAAGGAAGACACCGCTCCCCCCCTCCCCCCATTAAGATGGATTGACACAATGGCAGCAGCAATGGACTCAAGTGTAGCAATGAGTGTGAGGTTGGTCCAGGAGTAGGCAGTGTTTAGTTCTGCAGAGTGTCTCTATGAATGTTTTTGCCCAGTGTATCTATGAGTCAGTACCATTTTGATGGCACCTGATATCAACAAAAACAATGAGAGAGGAAGTCTGGCTTTTAGAAAATATTCTGACTGTACTTCCAACACATATTTGTTTGTTCTTCTGGCACTCTATGGTTATTTAAATATTTTCCTCAAACACCACAACTGAAATGCATCAATTCTTCTACCATTTCCCTTATTCATTGTTCAACATTCACGTGCATATGTAGCTATTGAAAATGCATGTCTTAGGTCAGGCACACATTAGTCTTTAAACTGTTATCTTTGCTTGTGAAAAATTTAAAGAAGTCTTGTGCAGCAGATTTGCCTAATTCAATACATCATTTGATTATTTGACTGTTGTTTCCATGGGTGTTGGTGGATTATCCAAGAAAAATGGAGGCATTGACAATTTAAATCTTTTCTCCTTTTGTCTTGATATTAATTATTGGTCCAGTAGTGAGGGGTTTTGTTTTCTTTACAGTGAGTTACAACAAATACCAAAAGGTTTGATCTTTGATCTTCATAAATATTTTAAGTCCTCTTCACTTTCATCAAGCAAAGTTGCATCATCTGCATATTGCAGGTTGCTAGAGTCTTCTCCAATCCTGATGTCACGCCCTTCTTCATATGACCCAGCTTCTTGGATTATTATCTAAGCAAATAGATTGAATAAGTTTGGTGAAAGAATATAACCCTGTCACACACCTTACCTAATTCTAATTCATTTGTTTTCCCTTGTTCTGTTTGAATGACTGATTCTTGGTCTATGTACAGGTTCCTCATGAGTACAATTAAATGCTCTGGAATACTCATTATCCACAATATTGTCCATAGTTTGTCATGATCTACACAATTGAAAGCCTTTGAGTACTCAATAAAGCACAGATAAACAACTTTTTGGTATTCTCTGCTTTCAGCCAAGATCCATCTGATGTCAGCAATGACATGTCTCATTCCATGTCCTTAACTGAATTGCACTTGAACCTCTGGAAGTTACCTGTCAATGTAACTGTTGCAGTCATTTTTAAATTGTCTTTAGCAGAATTTTACTTGCATGTGATACTACAGTATTGTCTGATGATTTCCACATTCCACTGGGTCACCTATCTTTGGAATGGGCACATATATTAATGTCTTCCAAATCAGTTGGCCAGTCTTCCAAATTTCTGGGCCTAGATGAGTGAGCTCCTCCAATGCTGCATAAGTTTGTTGAAAGTTTCCCATTTGTAGTCCATCAATTCCTGGAACTTTGCTCTTTGCCAATGCCAGTGCACCTTGGACTTCTTCCTTCAGTACCATTGACTCTTGATCATGTGATACTTT